AATATTCTTTTAGATATGCACTAAGGCAGTGATTCTCAAGTGGAGGCTACAGTGCACAGTACAGGTCTACTCTCCCAACAACAAAAAAAAGTCTTTGGCCCAGAATGTCAGTATTGCCAAGGTTGAGAAATCTTACTTTGTGGACATCCTGGCACGGTAATTGAAAGAAAGTGTTGCTTAGCGGTTGAAAAGTGGATTCAAAGCCAGACTAGCAATGTAGGAGGGGGTCAGAAATGCTCATCCAAAGAAGTGATGAGATTTAAGCTTGCTTGCCATATTACACAATTATTTATCCAGCAGCAATATACTAGCATCAACTTGGTCATAACAGCAAGTCTGAAAGTACTGTGATCTCATGGCCCTGGCAAGGGAAAGTAAAAAGGGTGGGGGCCTGTTTTTAAAGTTTATGTAGTAAATTTGAGAGGAGCAGACAAATGTAAAGATGGCTGACTTAAGAAATTTATTGCTGTTTTTCTTGTTTTGAGACAGGGCCACATACTGCCCAGTCTGGTCTCTAACTGGCTGTGTACCTGAGGTTATCCTTCAATCTTCCTGCCTTCACTTCCCATGTACTAAAGATTATAGGTGTGTACCACCAAGTTTGGCTTAATTAGATGAGTAATCTCTTAGTCTTCTGGAACTATGTGTTTTCTCCAGCAAATTCATGCTTGACTATAAGTTTCATAAAAGAAAGGAAATTGGGGGACTGGAGAGATGGCTCAGCAGTTAAGAGTACTTGCTCCTCTTACAGAGGACCCAGGTTCTATTCCCAGCACCTACATGGTGGCTCACAACTGTCTGTAACTCCATTTCCAGGGGATCCAGTGCCCTCTTTTGGCCTCCACAAGCACCAGGGATGCGTATGATATACATAGGTACATGAAGGCAAATAATATGCACATAAAAATAAATGTAAGAAAAATAATTTTATAAATAATCAGAGAAAATACAAATACCAATTTCCTTAAAGTAATATTCTGTCACTTGATTTTTATACTATATCTCTCTTCTACTGAAAGGAACTAGAACATTTAAAAGTCCAAACCAAATCTTATGTCCAAACCAAATTTTATGATATTTTCTGAGACCCTGGAACAGCTGCGTGGTAGAAACATTAGATTTTATATTTGTGGCTTAGACACTAGAGAGGTAGCTCAGTTGGGAAAATGTTTCTCTTGCAGGCATGAATACCTAAGTTTGATACCCAAAACCCAGGGCCTTGTGAGCCTGTACTCCCAGTGCTTGGAAAGGGAAGTCAGGAAGATCCTTGGGACACTCTGGTCAGCCAGTCTAAGCTGAACTGTGAACTGTGGACCAATGAGAGAGTCTGCCTCAAAGGAGGTAGACAGAATTTCTCAGAATGACACCTGAAGCTTTCCTGACCTCCATTCACAGTATAAACACACACACACTTAAGAAAAAGATTTGGAGTGAGGAAATGACTCAGTAGGTAAAGGGCACTTATAGCCAAGCCTGGTGACAGGAGATCATTTCTTCAGACCCAAATGGTATAAGGAAAGAACCAACTCCCACAAGTTGTCTTCTGTCCTATATACACACACATACACACACACACACACACACACATACACTCATACATACACAAATACAATGAAAGTGTAATTTAAAATTTTGAAACAGAGATTGGAGTTGCATTATAAACCCTCCTATTATGTATAAAATAGTATTTGCAAATAGTTGTTGAAATTATCTACTTAAAACATAATATAGACTATACTATATACATTTGGATAAATGATATCCTTTTCTGTAATATATATTATAATGTGTCCATTTCTCTTGTTATTACTAAATCATGTGAAAGTTTTGAAACAGATTTCCTTTTGTTTCTCTGGAAATCTTAGCAGATATTCTTTCTTTACTGTATTTTTTCTTGCAAATCTTATTACTTCCTTGAGCGATCCTTTCCTGACCTCCTGTGTTTCCTGACCTTCCGTTTCCTTCTCTGTAGAGCACCCTGCACTCCCTCTGTTGCAACACCTCATTTGTTTTCCTATGTAGGTACGTTCCACTGCAAGATCCAAGACAGCCAAAACCATGTGTGTGTCTCCCTCACCAGTGTCTCTCTAGCAGCTGACAAAATGCAAGGTGTACAGTAATTAATAAATATCCTTAATCTACAGGATTAACTTGTTAACTCTTTGCTATCCCTTTTAAGTCCAGTCATCCTCAGTGTAACTGTGGTGTGTTCTGCTCTTAAAAGCATTCCTCTGGAATATTACCTGAATTTTGTATTATATATCACCATGCATTATTACTCTATTTATTCAAAAACTTTTAATGAATTTCCACTACTCATTGAACAGATTTCAAATCTATAATCAGGCCTGTGAAATACTATATGATCTGGCCTTTATACAGTCTAATCAAACTATCCTATGAAACTAATTAAATTATATTCTTCCCAGTCTCCAAAGTAGCATTACCCCTAGGCTCCATCTTTCTGCTCATTCAGTAAGTGCCCTTACTATGTACTAGACAGTGTCCTGGCCAGTGCTGTAAAGTAGACTTTCTGTTCTGTGTATCATCTCTTCTTTGTATATTTAGTTCTCTGTATATCTTCTAGCTACACGTGGCACTATGCCCCTAAAATGTGACTGGTTCTGAAGCACAGATTTTTGTTGTTTTGGTTAATTTAAAATTTTTGGCCACATGTGAGCACTAGCTACTATACTCAATAATGCAAATGAAGAAAGAACCTTATGAAGTACACATCTGATCTAGAGATAACAGCCAGGAAAAATAAGTTGTATTAGATGGTAATACATACTATGGAAAAAATAAAGTAGAAAAATGATGTGAGATGTATATGTTGAAAAGAAGCAGGGCTTTTGTTTACACAGCATTCTTAGGGAGAGTGTGAAAGATTGTGTAACTTATAGAGACTTGTTTGGCTCATGATTCTGGTGGTTAGAGGATAAAACTAGTACAGTGCTGGTGTTCTAGCAAAGGCCTCTGGCTATGTTACAGAATGCCAGAGAAGCAGATAGGAACTTGCCATGTGCAGAAGTTGCTCAGCAGGTGGGCTGTCCTTACTTTATAACTTGTACTCTCCTTTGAGAACTAATCCAGTCACATAAGACCTAATCTACTTCTGTAAAATGGGTCCCAATCCTTTCTAGTTTGGTGCTCCGTAATCTACTTGCCTTCCATTAGGCCCTACATTTTAAAGTTGCCATCACCTCAGTGTCATTACATTTCTAGTATATGAACTTTTAAGAGGGCAAATCACATCTGAACCACAGCAGCAGTACTTATATTCCAGGAAAGTTCTTTTCCATAGATACAGATAGATACAATTAAATGCTTTTAACTCATTTCAAGTCTTAATTTAGCAGTTTTCTCCTGTTAATTTTTCCTAAGCCCTGTTATGTAGACGTGGCTCTTCTTCTTCTAGTGTCATTCTTAATCCTATATGCTCTATTATGTTGAATTTTTTCAATAGTCTATAAATTCTTCAAGGACAGGGAGTGGCTTATATATGCACAGTGTTTTTTGATTGAATAGTTCCTGTAGTCATAATTGAAATCAGGGAAACATTTTCTTAAAATCATATTATGAAATGGTACTTGTCTTTATGTTACATCTAAATGTAGTTATTGAAATATCCATTTGCATGTTTATTATGTGCCAGGTATTGAAACCATTTATTAATACCCCTTTCACTCTCCTAATCCTCACATAACCCTATGAACAGGTATTATCTTCACTCTCTTCAAGATGGGAAGCTGAAGCAAAATAATGGTTATATTATTTCCACAAGCTGCTGACAGCCAGGCTTGAAATCCATACAGCCAGATAGTGTATTCTAGACACCACAGGGAAGCTACACCTGTGAAATCTCTACACTGTGGCTGCCTAATCAAGACCTGCATAATGACAACACCAGTTGACATGCCAGTATGGATGGGGAGAATGTCACAGCATCCAATCTCTAGATAAAAGCAATCAGTGGATGCTGAGGGAGGCAGAATCAGTTTTCTACAGAGACAGGGGAACTTGGTGATAGGTTATCTAATCCCAAGTGGTCAGCCCTAAACAGCTGTACACACACACACTACTTAATCAACTCAATGAATTTTATATGTGTGTGTTTGTAGATATATGTTTATATATGCATATTTAACAATAATAATTGAAGAGGACAAAAAATGAGAGCGTGGCAGGGGACATAGGAGGAGTTACAAGGAGGAGAGGGAGGGGCAGAAATGATGTAAATATAGTACTCATGTATGAAATTCTCAAATTTCTTTTAAAAAGATAAATCCAAGCAGCCCTGCCTTACTGAATAAAAATAATCTTTTAATAGGTTACAGATCAAGCAAATTTGTAAAACAATTTTGTGGCAAATATAGTATTGCAAATTACTAGGACCTTTAAAAAATTCTAACATTTTGACCATACTGATGCTATTTAGGAAAGTTAAAAATATGTAAAATGTTGTCCCGCATGGTGGCACAAGCCTTTAATCTCAACACTTGGGAGGCAGAGGCAGGTGGATCTCTGAGAGTTCAAGGCCAGACTGGTCTACATAGCGAGTGCCAGACCAGATGGGGCTACACTCAAAAAGATCAGAGAGAGAGAGAGAGAGAGGAGAGAGAGAGGAGGGAAAAATATGTAAAATGTCTATTTCTACTACTTGTTTTTTAAATTTTTAAAAATTTATCTTTATTTTATGTGTATGAGTGTTATGCCTGCATGTTAAGTGTACCCATGTCGGAGGCCAGAAGAGGGCATTGGCTCTCCTGGAACTGGAGTTAAGAATGGTTGTTAGCTGCCATGTGGGCTCTGGGATTTGAACCCAGGTCATCTGCAAGAATAGCCAGTACTCTTAACCGCTGAGCCAAGTCTTCAGCCCTCTACTACTTGTTTTTTAAATAATGTGATTATTTTAATCATTTTACATTTATTTTTGTACCAGGAGAGCCATATAAAACCATATAAACAAACAAACTTCTTGTTTTGTCCCCCCCCCCCAGGGCCTGTATATCTTTGGGACCAAGAACTCGAGCCATTGGGAATGCAGCTAAGAGCCAGGTAAGTTGTTAATATGGATATTTTGACTTAAAATAAAAGTTAACTCTATCATAGTAAGTTGCCGTGGTATATAATTGAAACAGGACATATTTGCAAATAGGACAGTGACTTAAAACATCTTCATATTTTGTTAGAGGTACTTGACTTTGCTGAGTGTGGCAGCACATACCTGTAATCCCATCACTTGAGGGATTTGAGAGTTCAAGACTAGCCTGGGCTACAAGAGACCCAGTTTCAGGTGGGGTAGGGGGGAGATTTGCTTTGAGTTATAAAATAGTCCTTTAATTTTATTTATTATTTTACAAATTATGAAATGATGTGCTACTATATGGATTTAATTTTTTCTCGTATGATCACTTTCTGTAAAGGACAGCTTTCTAAATCATTCAGTGACTAATAAGTAATGACTTTGTAAAAGATGGTGTGGAAAGTGGAGTAAATAATTTCCAGGGCAAACCTATGTGACTATACCCCTATTTTACATGAAACTTGTTTTAAATAAAACTCTAAGCTTCTGAAAAACTTATAAAATTTGCATGATGCCTTGATTTTTTTTGATACACCTGTGTTTTTCATCCCATGATGGAAGATCAGGATCTATTTTGCTTTAAGGGTTGCTAAGAGCACAGATACTGGATCTCAGTAGTAGTCTAGTCTTAGACTAGAGTCCAAGTGCTCTAGATCAAGACAGAATTATTTTCTTGCCAGGAATAGAGGTACTGGCCTTTAATCCCACACTCAGGAGGTAGAGGCAGGCATATTTCTGTTAGTCTGAGGCCAGCCTGGTCCACATATCAAATTCCAGGCCAGCATTGGCTATATAGTGAGACCCTGTCTCAAAAAAAATTATTTTGGCAAAATGTCAGTCATTACATTAAGACTGTGACAGTACCAGGGCTGGAGAGATGGCTCAGCGGTTAAGAGCACTGACTGTTCTTGGAGAAGACCCAAGTTCGAATCCCAGCACCCACATGGTAGCTAACAACCATCTATAACTCCAGTTCCAGTGGATCCAACACCCTCTTCTAGCCTCTGCAAGCCCTGCAAAACATGGGTGCACTTATACACATGCAGACAATATATTCATACACATAAAATAAAGATCAATAAGTTAAAAACAAGTTTTAAAAGACTGTGACAGTACTATACTACATGGAAAGGGTTTTAGTTTACTAACCTAGGAGAAATGTTCACCCACAGGAACAATATACTATAGATGAGACATTTCACCAAAAATTAGAAATTGAAAAGAAAAGATAAACTGGCTTATAAAAAAAAGTTTAAATGAGAACAAAGACTAAGTGGGGAAAAAAGACTCACAAAATCAAAATACTAATTCATTGGATCAAAACTGCTGAAAACAAAGATGTGAGTTGTCAGAGTTGTCAATATATTTACACTGTATTATCTGAAAAATTTCTAAGTTCCTCTCTCCTCTCTCCCTCCATATCTATATCTATCTATCTAACTAACTATCTATCTATCTATCTATCTATCTATCTATCTCTAATTTCTAGGATAAGAGGAGAATTTGACAGACAGTACTTACAATAAACACATACACATTCACTGTATAATTTTACTGTCTAGTTGGAAACCAGAAAAATGAATAACATGTAATTCTAAACTTGGCTATAGAGGATATAGGGACTTGATATTTTAAATATTGATGGTATTTGATTTTTGATTTGTTAAGTAATTGATAAATACAAATATATTATCAACAGATTGTTACAAATGTAAGAAATACAGTTCATGGATTCAAAAAACTTCATGGGCGATCATTTGATGACCCCATCGTACAAACTGAAAGAATCAGGCTTCCCTATGAGCTGCAGAAGATGCCTAATGGAAGTGCAGGAGTTAAGGTAAGCTTTGCATTCCCAGAGTGCAAATGTCAACTTAAATGAAAGAAACCAAGTATGATAATGTTCATATTTGTAATCTGTAGTTTAACTTTTCTTTCTTGGGGTATAAGGATATATAATACATGTATACACCCAAGATACAGTCAATTTTGCAATAATTTTACTGAATGCACAAACATTCTAATTTAAAAAATAACTTTTAAATTAAAATAGTGCCTTTTGGGTGAAAGAAGACATTATTATTTAGAGAACTCTAACTAGCTTGAATGTATGTGGCTTAGAAGAATAGATCCAAAAATATGTTAACTGCTATGAGTCTTTCAAATTTATAAGAATCTTGTATTTAGAAGTATTAAAGCAAACTCCTAAGTGATGGATTCAGACTTTTAACTATATATCCCAAAATATTTAAGTTAGAAACTGGCTGACAAAAGCATGTTGAGTTTTCAAAAACTAGTGAGATACTTTAAGGCACATAGTTACTGTATGACCTCAAAATTTCTCTCCTTACTATGTACCCAAAAGATCTGGAACATAGTCTGGCATGGTGGCACACTCCTTTAGTCCCAGCACTTGGGAGGCAGAGGCAGGTGGATCTCCCTTGTATACATAATGAGTTCCAGGCCAACTGGGACTACAGGGAGACCCTGTCTCAAAAACACCAGAAAAAAAAAAAGAAAGAAAAGAAATAAAGAAAAAGAAAAGAAAAAAGATTTAGAACATATATCTTAGAACACAAAAAATCTTATACCCGAATAGTCTATTAATAGTGTGATTTATAATAGCAAAAAAACTGAAACAGTTTAAGTCTCCATCATCTGATGAGTGGATAGGTAAAATATATCTATACAGGAGAATAGTATGTGACTACAAAAAGAAATACAGTATACTGATTTTTAAATACATAAAATATAAAGAAATTTAAAAAGTCTGTTTAGTATGATTTTATTTGCAATATCCAGACTAGGGCAAATCTATACAGGCAGAAAAGCTGCTAAGAATTAAGGGGAAATGGGGAGGTACAGCTAACAGCTAAAAGTGGTCCTTTTAGAGGGATGATGAAAATGTCCTACAATTAGAAATTGGAGGTCCTTGCACAATTTTATAACCCATTTAATTGTATATTTCCAGAAAGATGAACTTTATGCTATATGAATTACCTCTTTAAAGCTATTTTTAAAATATTTTATTATTTTAATGTGTATGAGTGTATTGCCTGCATGTATGTGAGTGCACCCATGTCGTGCAATGCCATAGAGGTCAGAAGAGGGCTTTGGATTCCCCTGGAACTGGAGTTAAGGACGGTTTGTAGCTGCCATGTGGGTGCTGGGAATCGAACCTGGGCCCTCTGCAAGAACAGTCAGTGCTCTTAACCACTGAGCTGTCTCTCCAGCCCCCTTAAAGCTATTTTTAAGCCAGTCATGGTGGTGCATGCCTGTAGTCCCAGCATTCAGAGGGCAAAAGCAGGCAGATCTCTGTGAGTTCAAGGCCAGCCTGGTCTACATAGTGAGTTCTAGGCCAGCTGGGGCTACAGGGAGACTCTGTCTCAAAAAGACCAAAAAAAAGGGGGGGGTGGGGAGTAGAGATGTAGGAGGGCTAGATGCCTTAAAAATAATTTTACTTGATTGTGTGGAAACTCAAAATGAGAGGCACATTCAGTGTTTTCAGTGAGACTGTGATTCTTGAAGGACAATCTGTAATAAAACTACTAGATCTTTTCACTGTTTTATATCATGTGTATATATATTTATTGGATGTTATAAATGACTCCTAATAAACATCTCAACATTTGATTTTAGGTCCGGTACCTAGAAGAAGAAAGACCTTTTGCAATTGAGCAAGTTACTGGAATGCTGCTGGCTAAGCTAAAAGAGACTTCAGAAAATGCTCTGAAGAAACCAGTGGCTGACTGTGTTATTTCAGTAAGTTTATTTCAGTAAATCATATTTTTCAGTCTATTAATGTTAAGTGAAATGTTTTTCTTCTTTTTGTAATTTCTCCCCTTATCCATCACATAGCCTAAATTTGACTTTTCTTTAATTACCTTATTTGATAACTTTATGATTGAATTTCCTATAAATTCAGTTGTGAATCTTCAAAAACTAATATGTGTGATTTTTTTTAGTGACTGCTGCACCTGCCACATGCTTAAGAATCTTCCTAAGGGGCAAATGAGATGGTTCAGTTGGTAAAGGTGTTTGCCACCAAGCAACTAAGTTCAGTTCTCACACTCACATGATGAAAGAGAATACTGGGGCCCCACGGGTTGTCCTCTGACGACCATACTTAATGTAACCATGTATATACACATGTGCACACACACATACACAAACATACACACATTAAATAAGTGAATATAACTTTAAAAAATTACTCTTTATAAAAAGAATCTTCCTTTCAAAAAAAATGGGACTGGCAAGACAGCTCAGTCATTAAGAGCACTGACTACTCTTACAGAAGGCCTGGGTTCGAATCCCAGCACCCTCATGGTAGCTAACAACCATCTGTAACTCCAGTTCCAGGGGATCCTGACTCCCTCTTCTGTCCTTTGTGGGTATTGCACTGCAAGGCTGCACTTACGTATATGCAGGCATAACACTCATACACATAAAATAAAAATAAATAAATCAAAAGAAAATATTTAAAAAGTCTTCCTAAATAGCACTTAACTTTCCACTTTTAAATAGTTCAACATTTCTAGGGTATAGATTGAAAATTCAAAGTTAGGAATATGAAGTTATAGATAGGAATTTAAAGTTATATTCTTATTTGAGGATTTTTTTAAATTTTATTTTCTAATTATGTATATATGAGTGTGTGTGTCTGTGTGTGGGTGTATGTACAAAAGTGCAGGTGTCTGTGGTGGTCAAAGACATCAGCTCCCTGGATCTGGAGTTACAGACAATTCCAGATTCCAGTTACAGACAATTCCACTGTGGTTGCTGGGAACGAAACTCTGGTCATCTGCAAGAATAGTAAGTGCTCTCAACCACTGAGCCATCTCTCCAGCCCCCTGAAATTATATTCTATGTTATAAAAAAAGAGATCTTTCTTAAGAATTCTTAATAAAACTTTTAATTATCTGCTCTAGCTTATCTCTTGAAATACCATTGAACATTGTTAACCTCATTTCAACTCACTGTTGTCACTTAGTGTGACTATACTGCCATCAAAGTTGACTACGTAAGTTCAAGAGTTCACATCATCAGAAAAATAGAATCATATTATGATTTAATAATTATTTTCATCAGTATTTGAGACAGGGTCTCCCTGTATCCCCAGCTGACCTGAAACTCATGTAGACTAGGCTGGCCTTGATCTTACAGAGAACCACCTGCTTCTGCTTCTCATGTGCCACGACTAAAGTTCTGCATATTTTTAATAGGATAAAATGACTTTTTTAGCCATTTAGAAATAGTAAATAATAGTTTACCATTGACTAGACACTATTGTAGAATTTTATGTATATTAATTCATTTAAACCTCAGAGCTAACCCAGTAAGGAAATATTATAAACCCTAATTTTTTAACAGGAATCAAGATGAAGGATTAAGGTAGTTCAGTGACACTTTGAATCTATGTGTCAGAATGTACAAATGTTTAAGTCCCATCTTTGTGGTTGTAAGCTTCATGAAGGTAACTGTTCTCTCTGTTTTATGGACTATTATCCCTAATAACTAAAGAAGCACCAGGTTCATAATTATCCAATGACTATTATATGAGCCATTCATTATAATTAGATTTTTGTTAAGAAAAGAGCTAGAAATCAGGACAGGAAAGCTTGTTAAGCAAAACACAATAAAATAGAAAAAGAGTGCTTACTTAAAATTTAAGGTTGGGAGGCTGGAGAGATGGCTCAGCAGTTAAGGACACTGGCTGTTCTTGCAGAAGACCCAGGTTTGAATCCCAGCACCCACATGGCAGCTAGCAACTGTCCGTAACTCCAGTTCCAGGGGATCTGACAGCCTCTTCTGTCCTCTGTGGGCATTGCATGACATGGGTGCACTTACCTACATGCAATACATGGATACACATAAAATAAAAATAATAAAATAAATTTTTTTAATTTAAGGTTGGGGCCAGTGAAATGGCTCAGTGGCTAACGGTGCTTGCCACAGAAATCTGGCAACCTGCATTCAATCCTTGGAACCCATGTAAGGGTGAAAGTAGAGAACCAACATAACAGAGTTGACCTCTCACCTTCACATGCATGCTGTGGCATCACACTCACCCCACATTAATAATAAAAGAAAAAGAATTAAACTGGGTATGGTGACTCAAGCCTGTAGTCTAAACATGTTATTTAACTTTTTAGTGTAAACACATTTAATATTTTTGTAAAGTATGTTTTACTGAATTTCCAGTAATATATCCTTCCCATTCTTGGAAATGTAACCAATTTAAACACTTGAATTTCATTTTCTGGTTGTGCATATATCACAAAAATGAAATTATGTTCTATTTGTCCTTTTTTTTTTACATGTGTTTGTCTGTATTTGTCTGAATGTGTACCACGTTGTGCATTGCAGGGGTGTCATATGCCCTGGAACTGGAGTTATAGGCAATTGTGAGCCACCTGATATGGGTGTTGGGAACCAAACCTTGGTCCCCTGTAAGAGCAGCAAGTGCTATTAACTACTGAGCCATCTCTCCAGTCCTGGATGTCCTTTTTAAACATGATATATTAATGACTATTCCATGACAATGAATATCTAGCTGATTTTACTTACATAGGATTCCATTATATGAATGTATTATAACACATTTATCTCATTTTATTAGAGTCTTGGGTTTTCAATTTTTCATTATTAAAGATGAACTAATATTTTTAATACTCTATTAGTCCAGTTTTCATTACTGTATCAAAATAATTGAGCAGGTTAACTTAATCAGGAAAAAGGTTTATTTAGCTCCCAGTTTTGGTGCTGAATGTTTACCATTAGCAACTCCATTAGTTTGGCCTGTGATGAGATCATCATACAACATCATTGGCAAGAGTGTGCAAGAAAGAGAAGACTGCACTCTCAGACAAGAAGCCAGAGACTGGGTTCCATCATCCCTTCCCAGAGCAGAGTATCCCTCTGCAGTCTTCAGCTGCACACTGCACTCCAACTGCAGCTTTCGCCTCCACAGCATCCTCGCTGAGAACCAGTGTTCCAGCACACGAACCTTAGAGAAAAACATCTAAACCACAGCAACCAGACTGGCATGAGAACCTTCAGATTAGCAGAACTTCAACCGTCCTGCCTTATTATTAATTACACTAGTGCCCATATTTTAGATCAAATCTGTATGGTATAGAGACTGTCAGACTTAAAAACTTATATTAGTATTTTTGTTGGTAAAGTTATATAAGTTTTTTTTTCAGTTGCTAATATATTTAGTAAAAAGATACTGAGACAATGTGCTTAATTGCTATTTTTTTTATAATCAGATTCCGAGCTTTTTCACAGATGCCGAGAGAAGATCTGTGATGGCTGCAGCTCAGGTTGCAGGCTTGAATTGTTTGAGGCTGATGAATGAAACTACTGCAGGTCTGTAACTGTCATTTGAAAATCACTGTCAGAAAAATACTATTTTCTCTTGTAGCAACTTTTTAAAGCTGGTAAATTATTGCTTATCATTTGTTGCTTTGGAATACAAAATTTTGGCTGAAGTTAAATTCATATTGAATTTGAAGACTGGTTATTATTATACAGTTGTAAATAAGCTGTGAAAATAAAATCAATTTGTGAAGTTTAATTGAATCAAGTATTTTTACTGTACTATATATTAAAAAATGGTAAAAATGATTTATCTCTTCCCTGTTTTCTAAGTGATTGCTATACTAGGATTAACCTGATTCTTTGTTCTTAAACAGTTGCACTAGCATATGGAATTTATAAACAGGATCTTCCTCCATTAGATGAGAAACCAAGGAATGTTGTATTTATTGATATGGGACATTCTGCCTATCAGGTCTCGATTTGTGCTTTTAACAAAGGAAAGCTTAAAGTAAGTAAATAAATGATTTTCTATATTTAACTTTCATGATTAAGACCACAGACTATATAAAGAGTCTTAACAGGTGGACTTAAATTCTTGCTCTGTCCCTAAAAAAAAAATGTGACCATGAGCAAGTTTTTTAACTTCTTTTAACCTTTGTTTCCTTACCTGAAAATAATATCACTGGCAACTTCCTAGAATTTTATTTTAGTAAAACAGTGAGTTTATTGGGGTTACTCACAGGAGTTAGGGATAAGGAATAATACATACCCTAGCCTGGGTGACAAAAATGTTGCATCCCTGGAGCTCGCTGCATAGCATGCAGATAGCTTGACTGGTGGAGAGTCTTCTAGAATTTTCCATGTTCAAAGGCTTGGGATGCTTGGCATATTGTAGCTGCTGGGTGGTAGATATCTTTGTTAGCTGTGTTAACATGTTTATTAGTCACCTATTAGGGATCATAGATTATCCATAAATACCTTAGAGGAATTTTTTTCTGAAATGATTCATGTTTTTGTTAATACTCAGGACTCCCCATAATTTTCAATATAGCGTTACTTCTCTTTACTTCTTATAATCTGAATTTGGCTTAATAACTATTTTTACATTGCCTTTCTTAAAAGTGTAATACTCAGAAATAAAAGTACTTTGGTTTATCCAACTCTGTGAGAATCTTTAGTCCTGCGGTTCATATTACTATAACAACACTCTTATAATCAGAAAAATGTAAATGACATACAATAAAAATACAGCAGTTTAGATATAAATTATTTTAAATATTTGCTTTTAATTTTAACTTAATTGAAAAGATGGATTTTCTCCCTTCTTTTTCAAGCTAGCTTTTAGTATAGCCATCTATACTTTTTCTATCAGAGAGCCTTGTTAAAGTCTGATAAAGACTGTGGCCTTTCTCCTCAGTCAAATACACACTTGCACTAGCCAGGATGATTTTGCATTTAGTTGTGGGCAACACTAGAACATAATGTCCATAGTCTACATTCATGGATTCTCTGTGCTACTTTGCTGGAAAGCCATCACACACAGGTTGTATTCACATCCTACTGTGATGTTTCCCATTATGCGCATACACACACCTCTTTTTACAAAGAATGTACTGAAGAATCAAGCCTGTGTAAGAGTCATTAATCCTAATCTAGGTAGAGAGATTAGATGTCTTGGAATGTACTCCTTCACACGGCTGCTAGCTGGGAGTCCATTAGGCAACATTTATTCATTATTTCCGTTTTCATGTTTGCTCTCTTGTGTGTTCTTTTGTTTTAAATTATTTTCAAAAATAAGCAGGTTTTTACAAATAAAATGGTCTAAGGGCCTAAATCCTGACCTGGAATTTAAGCAGTTAAACACAATATACTTTAGATACAGTGGTTTGATCCACTTTTTTTGTATGCTTATGTCATTAGAACTGCTCTTTGCTATCTTATTGGTTCTGTACTATTATAGAGCCAATGGATAGGAGTTAATGACGTTTCATTTGTTGTGATTCAGTTATTTCAGAATTATAAGTGTTCTTTTAAGTTGTGATACAGATATGTCATTATGAAGAAGACAGTGACGAGAAGGGAAGTACGCTGGCTATATATAAGGGATAGTACAACTCTGACCCAAAATTTGGCACCGCTATGATTTGGACAATTTCTTTTGCTTTGCTTTTACTTTTATAATTTTAATAAGAAGGGTAACTTTCAAGAGTATATTTCTGAAAACTTAGTTTTGCATTTTCAATTAAATAGGTGTTGGCTACTACCTTTGACCCATATTTGGGTGGCAGGAACTTTGATGAGGCTTTAGTCGACTACTTCTGTGATGAGTTCAAGACCAAATACAAGATAAATGTGAAAGAAAACTCTCGGGCCTTGTTGCGTTTATATCAGGAATGTGAAAAACTAAAGAAGCTAATGAGTGCAAATGCATCAGATCTTCCACTGAACATTGAGTGTTTCATGAATGACCTTGATGTTTCTAGTAAGATGAACAGGTACCATGTATATTTTCAGTTTGAAGAGTGACTGCTGATTTTATTATGTTTGAATCATGCCATGGGTCCTCCCCCCACCCCCATTCTGCTGCTCAACTTTCTGACCGTGAAATAATTAATTTTATTTCATTTTGTCACAGGGCTCAATTTGAACAATTGTGTGCTTCCCTCTTGGCCAGGGTTGAACCACCATTAAAAGCAGTAATGGAGCAAGCTAGTAAGTGGAAATGACTGTGTTCCCAAAACTGTACCATGTGATAAAAACAATAGAAAGTTTGATTTTTTTTTTCTTTGTCTTTTTGAAGCAGGGTCTCCCTGTAGCCCCAGCTGTCTTGGAACTTACTATGTAGACCAGGCTGGCCTTGAACTCACAGAGATCTGCCTGCCTCTGCATCCCAAGTGCTGGGACTACAGGCATGCTTGGCTAGAAAGTTTGATTTCTTTTAATGTTTCATATTTTCAGTTTCAAAGAAGGAAATTACAAGAAATACTAGAATAGGGCACTAGAAGTTCAGCTTTATGAGAATTCTTCATTTTATTCTTCACATCATAAAGCTAATGTCAATTATATTTTGGGAGGATTGTGGAACTACATAACGTTTTAAAAAGAAATTAAATTAGAAACAAGGGATATGGTTGTTGTTTTGAAGCTACATTAGAAATAAGCTTCAATAAAGTTGGAAGGTGAAAGACTCTGCCGAGCTCCCTTAAAATCCATGAGGCACCTCTTCTGTCCCTGCTCTCTCTATCATCTGGACCATGTTCTGTACCATCACATAGGTAATACTAACTTTGCCTTTTTCCATAATTTTTGTTCTTTTCATTTTTATCTTTCTTTTGAGACAGCATCTCTTTGTAGCACTGTTTGGCCTTGATCTCAGAGAGATTCACATGCCTCTGCCTCCTGAGTACTGGCACTAGACATGTGCCGCCACACCAGGCTCCGTTTTATCTTCTTCTGAATACATAAAAACCGACTTAAGTAAAAACTACATTCCACATCTACATTCACAATTTTTAAAGATTTTTCTTTTTTTCATTGAAAAACATTTTGTTTTCCAGACTTACAACGTGAAGATATAAATAGCATAGAAATTGTAGGAGGAGCAACACGAATTCCTGCAGTGAAGGAACAGATCACTAAATTCTTTCTTAAAGACATAAGCACCACTTTAAATGCTGATGAAGCCGTTGCCAGAGGATGTGCCTTGCAGGTCTGGGGTTTCTTAATGTATATTTTGCCCCAAATGCCTGGTGGGTCTAAAGGAGCCTTTTATCTATTCCAACCACCTGTCAATAGGGAAAGAGTAAATAGAAATTATTCTTAATAAGTAAGTCTTGCGTCTTCCTCATTTGTTTTTAAATTGTAATAGGATAATATATCTATATACTGAAAACTGAATTCTTGAAATTATGTCCATTTAAAATTCTTTTAGAAATTTAAAACTGTTCTTATATTAGTTTTCGTAAAACTGCATTCAAAATTCTAGCCCTTTTAAACTTTCATTTGCCATTGCCAAAATGTAACAAATTTTAAAATACAATAGCTTTATTATAAGAACCTTATTAAGCAATTCAATCAGGGTTAACATAGAATGTGATTTGTATTTGTTTATTTAAGTGTATTTCTTATTTTCCAGTGTGCAATTCTTTCACCAGCATTTAAAGTGCGAGAATTTTCTATAACGGACCTTGTTCCCTATTCAGTCACATTAAGGTGGAAGACTTCTTTTGAAGATGGAACTGGGTAAGTTATTTTTTAAATCTTCTTAAATGTATCATAAATCTTTAACCAATTAAATCTTTTTCAAAAATAGAGAAATTTATACTTCTTTAAATTCTCTTAAGTACTTTAAAATAAAGTGTTAGAGAAAAGAGAATGTAAAAGTAGTTTGTAATTTGTAAACTGTTATGGGCATATTTGTGAATTTGTTAATTCACATTTGCCATGTCCCAGCTCCTTTAGCCTGTTTTACAAAAGTAATAATTTTTAGCAGCTAGTGTATATATCCAGGCCTTTTCTTTGAATATCTATAAATAAAAGAATTTATCTGTTTAGTAAGAATCATCTATGTAGCTCCAGTGCAATTTGTTTTTGAAAAAGATATTGTATAGTACCTTTCTACGTCAGTAGACAATAACTGTTTTTGAAATAGTTGTATCTGCATAGTAAATAACCAACACACTTTTAAAGTTATATTTTGCTACTTTAAGCAGTGTTATTTAGAAACATTATTGTACATATAACCATGTCCCACTGCATTTGCTATATCTATAAAATAGTAGTATGAGTACAATTGTTAAGCCAGAGTATATGCACTATTTTGACTCATATTAACAATTGGTCACTATCACTAAAAAGATTTTAACAACTTACATTGCTATTAAGATCTAGGAGATTACTTGTCTTAACTCATTTTTGTTATACTTTTAAATTTAACATGCTTATAGTGAAAAATATAATAGATCGCTTTGCTTAGTAAAAAATACAAAGATTAAAGGAAGTATGCACGTGTGATGAGAGAAACAAGGCAAAGAACAGCAGCAACAGTAGATATCCAGACACTCATCGTCCTGTCTTTATTTTTTTACCCTTCTGCAAATTTAAATTTTTTTCCAAATAAAAGGGTATTTTAAAGAGCTCTGGAAGGGTTCTTCAAGGTTTATTCAAAAGGTGTATATGGCAAGTGTTTGAGAGTTAATTGGCAAGGCTTGCCCCTCCCTCCATGTTGACCTCACAATATGCATATTCTCAGATAATTTTTTTCTTAATATACAGCAATCTGTTATGATGTCAGACATTCTAAAAGCAATGAGCTATAAATTTGTCAAAATGAATGTAGAAAAATTCATAATTGTTTTTTCCTTACCTTTGTTTATCTTTGAAATTGCTATTTATGAATTAAGGATGAAGTAGATTCTGTAATTGGGTTGCTAGGCAACGCTCTATTTGTTTTTAAGTGACTATCTTTCCCACTGCACTCTAGGGAATGTGAAGTATTCTCTAAGAACCATCCTGCTCCATTCTCAAAAGTCATAACTTTCCATAAGAAGGAGCCATTTGAACTAGAAGCATTTTATACTCATTTGCATGAAGTGCCTTATCCTGATCCAAGAATTGGTAAGACAACTCAAAAAAATTTCCATAAAACTATACCCTTTGATAAACATGTAGAATCACAGAAGAAAAATTAACGTTTCATTTATGTAGTCCTGAATTTTAAAAGAAATCTGTCCTTTTGTAACTATAAACATTTTATTTATTTTTATTTATGAGTGTTTTGACTACATGTATATAAGTGCACCTGTGTCATGAAATGCCCGTGGATGCCAGACAAGGAGGTCAGGTCCCCTGGAACTGGAGTTTCTGATAGTTGTTAGCTTCCATATGGGTGCTGGAAACTGAACCTGAGTCTTTTTGAAGATTAGGCCTTAACCATTGAATCACCTTTCCGACACCATTATGAACTTTTAATACTTTATTTCTAAAAAAAAAAAAAAATAGCATGTTTGAGTAGTCATTTGTTTTGCCTTCTGCTATTTCTATTAGTGTATATTCATTGTATAAAATGATGGGTTTCATTGTGACATTTTCATACATGTACATATATGTACACACACACACATATATAATGTGCTTTAATCGTATAACCCTAACCCCCCATTACTCTCTCACCTCCCCTTCTTTCTGAACACCTTTCTCTTCTCAATAGTCCCACTTCTGTTTTCTGTTTTCATTGATTTCTGTATTTAAAATGTTCTAAAATTGACCTGAAATGTTGGTGTAAAGATTATTTTCTTGGGGCTGGAGAGATGGCTCAGCAGTTAAGAGCACTGATTGCTCTTGCAGAGGGCCCGGGACCCACATGGTGGCTACAAACCATCCTTAACTCCAGTTCCAGGGGAATCTGACACCCTCTTCTGACTTCTGCAGCATTATGCGACATGAGTGCAACTCACATACATGCAGGCAATACACTCATACACATAAAATAAAAATAATCCAAGTGCAACCAAGTATGACTAGTAATAATCAGATACATACAGATTAGAGATGCATGTGCCAGCATCTCAGTGTTAGTAGCAAAAACAATGAGTCTTTCTGCAAGGAACAATATATTCTAAAATGAAATGGAGATCTTTTTTAAAGGTTAAAAAACTCATTCAATTTTATGCCTTACAGGGCTTATACTGAATTCAATATTGTGTAACTGTATTAACTCAACTGTGAACCTAGAAACTTACAGCTACTTGTGAAAGAGATGTACTCTTGCTCTGGAGTGTGTTACTGAATATGTTAAAGCTGTA